ATTCGTTTCTAGTGATGACTGCAAGCCAACGCCTCCTGATATTATTGGACCATACTATTTTCCGAAACCCCCAAAACTACAACAATTCTGTACTGGAGATCCTGAAATGCATCGCCTGAAGACGCTTCTTGTTCATGGTCACGTGTACAAAGAGGACTGTAAAACTCCGATTCCTCACGTGAGAATTGAAATATGGCAAGCAGATCATGATGGAAATTACATGATGTCTACAGATTGCAGGGGACATTTTAAAACAGACAAACATGGTTACTATGAAATTTCTACCATTCACCCTGGACGTTATTCAATTGGTGTCCATGAAATATTATATCGTCCTGCTCATTTGCATTTTAAAGTGTTTGGAAGACGTGGACATAAAAGTCTCGTGACTCAGATGTATTTTGCTGGTGACACTTACCTCGGAAGGCACGATTCCTGTCCGATCTGTTCCTCGGACCATAATGAGCTTATTATACAAACACAACATTATTGTCACACCAACAACGTCACTGATTGTATTGACATTGCTAAATTTGACATTGTCCTTGAGCGCGGAAACGGAATTCGAATAGTACAATAAATATATTTGGACAAATCAGGATGATATAGGAGGCACGTGTATATATATTTACTTATTAAGTAAGGACATTTTTATTTCATTTTAGTAATGTTATTTTGTTTTCAGACATGTTGAACATTAAATTTGTACTTCGATACTGGTTTGTACAATATGCTACTATTGACTAGAGATTTACATTTCATGCACATTTTTTAAGTCATGAAACGTAAACCGACTTTGGTAAATGCACTGTCAGCGTACCAGCAAGTTTTAATCATCATAGTTATGCATGTAACTCTTGTCTGCAGAATTGATTTGATAAATCTGGTTATTGACTGTTGACTTTTCTTATTAACTAGTACCATTTCTGCAAAAATAAACATTACGTTTATATTCGTTCTATGCTGCATATATTCGTAACAAACAAATGTATCAAACAAGCAATTAGTACATATAGGATATCGTGATTATTTTCCGTCCCCATTTTGCACCACTTAGTTGTGTAAGCTTGATGAAATGATGTGGCATTTCTCATAAATATTGAATTAACTTAAACTGCGAACATTCGATCATTCCTGGTTTCTAGTGGGCTTCGTGTTACTTTACATTTAGTTTCCTATAAAGATTTTTTTGGGGCTGTTGTGTTTTTAGTTTTTTGCTATGGCGTTGTCAGTTTCTTATCAACTTATGAGTTTTGAATGTTCCTATGGTATCTTCCGCCACTTTTTCGAATTTAACGCTTAACTAGACAAATACGAATCTTCTCGCTTAGGCATGTGCTGTTCGGTTTCTGCTATTATGCCCTTAGTAAAGCAATTAAATATGTACAATATCGTTTTTACACTAAATTCATTGAATGATGGATGTGTACTGATTGATATTTTAGTCTTAGATACATGATTTTATTATTAGTTGTAATTGGTTTTGAACTAGCTGTCAGTAACTGCGAGTACTCTCAGATCTGTACTTCGTGTCTTTTTTTTTTCGAAGAGGTGTAGAAATTCCCTGCCACGTACGGTCTGTTTTTGTTACTTGTTTTTCTGCTTTGTATCGATCTGATGAGTTTAGCCCTTTTCAGCTGATTTTAATAGTTTGTAATTATGTTGTACTGTTACACCACTGTCCCAGGTTAGGGGGAGGGTTTGGCGCCAGCAAACTAGTTTAAGCCCGTCACATTATGTGTGTGCCTGTCTCAAGTCAGGAGCCTATAATTCCGTGGTTGTCGTTTGCTGCTGTATATCAGATTCTTTTTTCGTTCATTGTTTTGTTCATAAATCAAGCCATTAGTTTTCTCGTATGAATTGTCTTACATGCATTTGTCATTTCGGGGCTTTTTATATCTGACTATGTAGTATGGGTTTTGCCCATTGTTGAAGGCCGTACGGTGACCTATAGTTGGTAACTTCTATGTCATTTGGTCGCTGGTGGAGAGTTGTCTCATTGTAAATCATACCACATCTTCTTATTTTTATAGTAAAGACACTTTATTTTTTTCCCTTGCATTTCCCAAATTTTTGCTTGATCTGAAGTTTATTTAGAAAATACATGCTAACATCAAGTTTTATATTTTTATTATGTCAAAATATGATGTTCTTTTGATTACAACGGTTCAATTTAATTAGATTGTTGTTCAGAAAAAGGCGTGTGAACTTTTTTGTTTCAAGTTTTAAAAAGTAAGTAGCATCCTGATTTTGATGTACAAAGTTGTAAGTTTACTGATTGGGATTAAAAGGCTAGGAGTTGATAGCTCAACGTGTGCATAAGTCGGGAACTTCGTCGGGACGATTTGGAGCTAGGCAAATAATATAGAAACCTTTCTATTCTTGAAGACCCTTTTTTGAGCTAATACATTGTAATATGTAGGTTTTAAAATATATTAAAAGCGTTTTTTCCAAACATTGAGGTATGAAAAGCTCCAAAGAGAATACGAAAAGTGAAACTTTACATGTGCTATCAGAGGTGATGTCTATTTAACGGTAAGTATACTAAATTTTTAATATTTACAAATTAAGAATAATGAAATAAAAGAATCTGGAGGTTGGTAGAAAAAAATAAAAACTTATATCAGGATACAGCAGGATAAATCAAAATCTTTTCAAAATGGACCAGAGGCCTTTAACTCGCATTTTACAGTATATGAAACACATCGGTTCATATTTGATTTATGGCTTCTTTGAAGAAAATATATGATACAATCAATATACATTTAAAATTTAGGAGCACCACTGAACCTTCTGTCTGACCTCGGAAGGAGATAGAAAAAGAAGATTTTCTAAGAAGAAGTTTAACCAGCTTATGTCTAGCGAACAGGAAAGGTCATAGTTTGGTTTTGCACTGAGTTACGTACGCCATCACGAGTTGACGACGGGTATGTTCCAATGTCGACCCACAATCTCGTCCTTTTTTCCTCGAAATTGACCTACCGAATTAGACTTATCACCGGCTTTGTACTTACATGAGCAACTCGAGGAGTGTCAGATTTGGAGCAGGATCTACTTAACCCCTCCCCTCCAAAACACCTGAGCTCACTCCCTGTTTTTCTGGGGGGGGGGGGGGGGGGTTCGTGTTGCTCAGTCTTTAGTTTTCTATGTTGTGTTCTGTGTAATGTTTTTTGTCTTTCCGTCGTTTTACGTTTTTAACCATGGCATTGTTAGTTTGTTTTCGACTTATGAGTTTGAATACCCCTTTCGTATCTTTCGCCTCTCTTTTATAAATTCCAGCCACTAGTTGAATGACTATACCGTAGAGTGTTTTTTTTTCACGGAAATCAAACTTCGCCATTACAATGGGATACAAAACACACTTGAAATCCGATCCGAAATACGGGGAGGGATTCGAATAACGAGGAGCAATTAAAATTTGTTTAGTGCAATTCGTAAGTAAAATCTTGATCCGATTCCCACGGAGGATTATGCTCAGTGGGAATCGGATCCAAATTTTACTTATCCACCGTATTACTGTCCCTCCGGATACGGATACCCGGTGTGCCAAAGAGATTTTTGAAATAATAATTTTGACTCCGCCAGGTTAAACAAGCTGGTTCCATGTCTGGATAAAGGAGAGAAGTTATTTCAATAAAAATACTTACCATTAGATTTACTTATGAATTGACGTTAATGTATGCTTTTGTTTTTGGCGCATGCGATACACGTATAATTTAGAAAATAAATTGTCGAAAAGGAGCATTGATGCAAATGAGTTGTAGCTCAATCTGTTCTTTTTGGCGCAAAAAGGAGAACACAACTGTATAATAATGTATACACCTCCCCATATCTTTTTATTCATTCATTTATCCTTATTGAAATTAATCCAATCAATTTACGGGAGACTGGAGACTAAAGACGAAGTATATTTTTTTAATCAAAACAATACTTTTCTCTTATTAAACATTGTAATAAAATTGTGAATGGAAACAGGGAATGTGTCAAAGAAACAACAACCCGACCAAAGTGCAGAAAACAGCCCAAGGCCACCAATGGTCTTCAACACAGCGAGAAATTCCCGCACCCGGAGACGGGCTTCAGCTGGCCCATAAACAAAAATGTGTACTAGTTCAGAGAAAATGGACGTCACACTTAACTCCGAAACATATAGATGAACCAAAATTTAAAAAACAAACAAAGGCCAGAGGTTCCTGACTTAGGTAAGGCGCAAAAATGCGGTGGGGTTAAACATGTTTTGTGATATCTCAACCCTCCCCCTATACCTCTAGCCAATGTACAATAAACAAACACATAGCAATACGTAGAGTAAAACTCAGTTTAAAGGAAGTCCGATTCCGATGTTGGAATAGGTAACAGAAGAAACTAAGCAAAATGACAATGATAACATAAATTAACAAAGGACTATGCATATTTCCAAGCAACTGTTCTGTTTCAATGATTTTTTGCCGTTTCTTTCAAAGCATTTCCAACTCCATTATGAAAATCTGCCCCTATTCAATATGGCTTCAATAACCATCGGCATGTTGTTGTCCCATTATAGCCACTGAGCGGTCAAGTATTCCTATTCTGATATGTTCTCAAGGTGTCATACCACCATGATTGTTTTTACCTATTAGTCTTTGTTAAATTGGCAATTTAAAAAAAAATGTGCTGAATTTGTCTTTGTTTCAAATAAAGAAACACTTGAGTAAAGTTTTGTCCTGTCCAGTACTACAGTGAAAATTTAACATAACATTTCATTGCATATAAGATAATAACCATCACTGGAAGTAAACCAATCAAATTTTCACCCCTTTTTTCCTGTTTACAAGCTTTAGTAACCATTTCATCTCAAGTTTCCAAAATATTTTATAGAAGCGCCACATAAAAAAAAATTGTGCTTTGAAACACCCAAGACATATGTTTTTTTTCTGCAATGAAATAAAAGGTTAATTTCCTTCTTGACGTACTATGATTTGGTGGTATTACAACTCAAAGGTTTCAAGAAAGAAATATACTTGTAATCATTGAATTTTTAATTTTATATATTTCACAATAAGTAATACATTTGCACTTTCTAATAACACAGAAATATCAGTCATGTATTATATATATCTATGGCACATAAAAATGAAAATAAAATATGAAACATACTAAAAAATCTGATATAGAAACACGTTCACGTGGAAAGATTGTCATCATTTTTACATGATTTGAACTACTATGAAGTACGTTTATACATGCATAAAACATACAATCTTAATTGCTATAAACTCTGCAATTTCTTACATTTTGACGGGTTCAATGGAATCAAGAATCAAGAGCGTTAAAAAAATTGACCAACAACATAATTGTCGTATAATTGGAAGATACACTGAAAACATCATTCAATTTGAAAATGTTTTTAAATTATTTTTTATCAGAGTATATATTATTAAGTGAAAACAACCTATATGGTTTGGAAATGCGTTCATAAGTTCGATTAAATTGGAATGCCGGAAATAAAATTTTGGAACTTTTCGCATGTGTAATTATTCACTTGCAAAGTTTCGACAGATTGGAATGTAACTAATTTTGTCATAAAAATAGTTCCTTTTGACAATACTAATGAGCACTTCACTTCTTTGGAGCTGGTACGTTATCTTTATAGTTTCCGATCATATTGCCTGCAGGTCTGTAACTACCAACAACAAACACGCGACCTCCCGAACTTTTGGCTTTACCAAACCCTACTTCTTTTGTCTCCTTCCATACTACTTGTGTGAAATGACCTACATTAGAAAAAAATATGTATGTGTCCACTCTAATTTGTAAATAAAGAATTGTATTCTGTGGGACAATATTCATAAACGTGCACTTACTGAAATGTTTAAATTCATGACATCGTTGAGATTTTTATGGTTTTAATTGGCTGTTTGAATAAAATAGTAGTTGCCCGAAATCAAAACGGGTTACCTTTACTTGCAAAATACCACAACAGCTCTTTCAGTACAATATTACGCTCTGGACAATCATGATTAACAGTTCTGAAATAACTCATCGATAACTTGTGTATTGACGTATGTAAAAGCACAACGTTGGCTTCGAATCAGTAGATAGAAGCATTATACCGATTTTTTTTTCGAAGCGTTTATTTAAACATTTTTTTTAGTACCATCTGTGTCTGCATGATGAAAAAAAAATTTGGACTTCCAATTCCAAAATATGTAAATACGTGTACCAGGACAATAAATTGAATTCGTGAACAATCTTATACAAACATGTGCGCAATACAATTAGTGACGGAAAAGGAGTAGATTATTTTAATTACACGAACAACACGACGGGTCCTTCATGTGGAGCAGGATCTGTCCACCTTTCAGGAGCACCGAGATCACCCCAGGTTTTTGGTTAGGTTCGTGTATTTCAGTCTTTGGCGATCTAAGTTTTGTTTTTATACAATATTGTTTGTCTTTTGATCGTTTTATTGCCACGGCATTGTCAGTTTTTTTCTCCGACTAATGAGTTTGATTGTCCCTTGGTATCTTTCGCCTCTCTTTTGATCTTTTTAATTCATGTCACAAAGTATTAGTAATCTATCATATAAAATCATCCCGATGTTAACAAGACATTAGTTTGTCAGATATCATTGATGTTATTTTTTAATATTGTCTTAAGTTATTTATTAATTGCTCTCTAGCACTGAAAACTTCTTACATTAAAAAAATATGCCAAAACGCTTTTATTTGAGATTTTCCGCTTTATATTTAATTTCTTGTACACAGATGAGTATGTGCATCTAATATTTGAGGGAGGCTATTTTTCAATTTATTTTTAAATTGTCATTTTGGTAATATGTTAACATAAACATGTAATAATATCAATAAAACCACAAACAACAATTTTACCTTTAAGTGACCAGACTAAATCATTTGATAAAATTTAAACAAATTTGAATGGATTGGATAATTTTTCATATTTTTACAATTTTTAGGCCAGAAAACGGCTTTTGTCATACAGTTTCCTTAAGCATCTAAAACAAAAGTTTTTGAATGAAAGACAAGCAAAACGCCATATCTTGATTCTTCCGATACAAATATAATCGCCGGACTTAGGTTGTCAATTATCGAAAGCAATGCAAGTTTTAATTAACGCACCTGTTCCTGTAGATCTTGGTTCTGTTCCAAAAGTATAGTCTTTGATTTCGCTATACCAATACTCTGTTACTTCTTTGCCTAAAAAAAAAGGCATTATGTCACAGATGAATACGGTTATGAATCCTATACTTTTGTATGCATAAGTACAATAAGAAAAGTTCGAAAGGGAATATGAAACCGTTATGTTTTACGTATAAAGAAAATATGTACATATACCTACGATATTGGTCACTTGTCGCGTAATGTCATGCCTCTTGTGCTTCCGCGCTTCATACAAAAAGTGCTACGGTCAACGCTTTTACACCCCCAATAAAATTTAAAAATGAAGCATTCAATTCTTAAATATCACCGATCCGGGCCATTTAAGATCAATAGTTGGGGAACTAGTTCTCTGTTGGTCCTCTTTTCAAAACTGCTCGACGTCAGAACTTATTTTGATGATCAATATTCGTTGTCGTGACAGTAAAAAGATTTTTTTTAGAAAATTCTCAATAAAAGTTATAGAAAATACATAATTTGACAAAAACGTATAGCAACTTTGCAAAAAGGTTTCTGATATTTATGGTTTCTTTAAAAAAAAATAGTTTGCATTAGATGTCAAAATTCAAATTGTGTCTAAATTATCACGCGGACCAACCAACATGACTCTTAGAAGAGAGTAAAATAACAAAAATACCTAACTCCAAGGAAAATTCAAACGAATGGATAACAACTGAAAACACCTTATGAGCTAATCGCATCGTTTGTCTCATGGTAACATGCTCGTCTTGAGTGCGAGGAGTCGTTGATTTTAACACCGGTCGTGCCCAACCATAGACTTTAAATTTGGCATTTTCTGCTTTACTGCTATGACAGTTAAATGTACGGGTAGAGTGATCCGCTCGGAGTAAAATATTGTGTTTGAGTGGGTGTCTGCCAGTGCACTATTATCTAGTAGACTAACACGTTAAAAATCCAGGTCAGCATAGCGGTGTAGTAACAAAACTGGGTATTTCTGCATATCATATTAAAATTCGTTCCGTTTTGTTTGTTTTTTGCTGTGCATGTGCTTATTTTGTGTCATGGATGGATGTCCCATTTCCTTTGTTTTTCTATTTTATCATCCTGCATTTGATACTTGCCACTGAACTTTAACATTTATTTATCCATTCATTCTTCATAATCTATATTTTTTCAAAAGTATTTTCAAATTTTTTATGCATATTCAGGAAAATGAATTTAATAGGTAGGCTCTGCATAGTGGACCAACTGGAATGAAAGGCGGAAAATTTAAATAACGGCTAGAAAATGAGGCATTCTTTGAAATGGACAAGAATATTGCCGGACTTCCTATGGACCGCAAAAGAGTTTATGAAAGAGGTTCAAACCAAACGTGAATTATGCGTGGCACTTTCCTCATCCGAGGCATCACATTTACAATCTCATTCTGACAGGACGCGACTACGTATTTATACATCCTGTACAGCCGAAAAAAACATCCCTTACGCAGGAGTCGTACCGCTCAGACAGAGAAACCATGAACAATGTATATACCAGCATACCCTCAGGGAAAACGACTACAAGAATGATGGCACTAAATGATAAAAAGATCAATGTGCAATTATGTTGCAATCAATATTCATTGTATAGATATAAATATATGTTTTGTTGACCTTCTTTATAACGCTGAATTTTTTTATTGGTATTCGGATGATTTCACTCAATAAGTCAGAAACACGAATATACAAGGACATCAATTATGATATACAACAAATTACTATAGCATTGCAACAATTACTTATGTAACTATCATAGGGCTGTTTGAAATATATTCTATAAATTAAAATAATTAACATATTAAGAAACATATATGTCAGAGGAATTTTCATTACAAAGTTGTTATGTCAAATTGATGGATTGATGAAATCTTTCAGTAATAACAATTGTAGATACATTTTTTGATGTATGTATAAAAAGATAAAAAAAAAAGTTCAAATAGTCAAAAGATAAATCTCGTTTACATATCATACTTTGAACAACGTTTGCAGGGGTTAGCATTGAATGACTGATTAATATTCATGTATCACACTTTATTCACAGAGTGATAAAAGCATCATCTTCGCTAGCCAAGGGTTACGATCCAGTCCCCCTCCTAGAACACTTGGCTAGCGAAGATGTAAAAGCATTGGAAGAAAACAATTGCTTAATTGCTGCAGTAGTCTATTGAAGGCGGTTGCGGTCAAAATTGTTAACTATTTTTGACTGAACCTGAAGTGTTCCTGTCATTGCCTTCATCTTCTGAAAGCTGAAGTTTATACCATCCCACCAAAATGCCGTGTTTTTTGGGGAAATCCAACATGGGCTGGTCTGAATTCTTTAGTCGTTAAGATACTATAGGAAATTAACTTACATCTCTTGCAGGTGTACATTTTGTGAAACGATAACTTACAAACCTTTTTTATTAAAAAAAATAATAAGAAAATGGCACCTACAATGTAACCCGTCCAATGATGGAACCCGCATGGCAAAGGGTTATTTTTTTTTTTTTTTTTTCTTGCCCCTTTCAGGTTTTATATATATATATCACTTCGATTGCTTTCTCTTTTTTTCAGTCTAACTTTCAAACTGTTTTGTATTTGAATGTATGAAGTCTAAAATGAAGAACATCAATTAATAGGTGTAGCTTTGATATTGTTTTCTCCTGCATTGCTCCGTCTCATGTTTAGCTGTTTCTTTCATTTAGTAGCAATCATTATGATGTATGAAAATGTATGAAAACTATTATGGAAATTCAGATATGAACGTCTTTGATAGAAAAATAGAAAATAAGCGAAAGAACTCTATATTTTCAGATTTTTAAGTGAGATGCATTCTATAAAAAGACTTTTTTTTTGCAGAAATTTCAAACATGTCCGATTTATCGCGAATAAAATGAGGTTTGGGTATACATAAACGATGAAGAAACTCAACGACATAATAAAAGGCCAAAATACATGAAGACTTCAACATACGATTTTGGACAATAGACAGGAGTCCATGTCGTCAAGCTCTAAATTACCCCCATTTTAAATAAAGTTGAGAATATATATACGTTTAACATAGACTATAAAAGATCTACCATAAACACCAAATTGCCCGATTGACAACACTTAAGATATAAAAATAAGTAGATGTGCTATGATTGATGATTGCCAATCAGAAACCAACTGGCGTAGAAGTAAGCAACTAGAGCTCACCGTAAGGCCTCCGACAATGAACAAAACCCATACCGCATACATCGTATGACTGAATTTGTAGATTTGCTGCTAATTGATATCAATCGTTGTTTCTTAACGTCCATTGACATATATTTCATGCATATTTAGAACAAGAAAAACACAGTAATACGTTCGTTACTATTGGTCCTGCATTCTGGAACGACCGGGACAAAGACCGTTAAACATACTGATAGAGCAGAAAATTTCCCTTGCAGTAGATCATACAAGGACCTCTCAGTGAGCTTTTACCATTCAAAGATCATTTAGCCCAACTTTGGACTTTAAAAGTCTTCATGTCGACTGGACGTGGATGAGTGTTATTCGGGCCTCCAGATGAATGGATGGCAATAAAACTTTCCGAGTCTCCAAAAATTCATTTTGGGCCCCTCCAATCTTTATTGGCTTTCGAGTTAGTTTTTTTCATAAGACATGGGCTAGTTTTTTTTTTCATAAGACATGGGCTTATTTATGATGCTTGCTATATATAGAAAGTTAAGAGCTTCATTTTTTTGTCCTTGTGCTGCTAGTTTTCAGTCGTATAAATATGTACCACTATCTCATTTTATTCATATTAAAAAGAAATGTCTTACCTGAATAATCTACAGTGCCGCTTCCAGACCTACATGCAATATTTTCTCCAAGTCGGTCTGATTTCAGTGTGCATGAGCTATGTCCGAACGATGATGTTGCCGCCATATGTTCCGCCCATTTCTGAGCATAGTCGCTGAGATCTTTTGCATGTTTCACTGAAGGAACACCATGCTTCTTACGCAAGTCATTGTGAGTTTTTACAGCGTCATCTATAAATGCTTTTAAATTTTGTGGCTTTCTAGTTGTTTCTGGTGATGAATCTGATGAACTGCTTCCCCGTCTTTTATCCTTTCCTTTCCCGAAAAACTGTGAACAACAACAACCCATGATAGTTTTTATATAAACGTACAATATAAACTAGATCAAAACACCGATCATACCACAATACTAATGTAACATATGTTAGAGAAAATGTCATAACCGTTACGCATATGTTAATTTTTTGAATCGATCAACTATGTAAAAACTGATATACGTTTTCTGCCTGCATAAAAGTAATTAAATTTGGTAATTTAATAAATGTACACTACAAGTTTATATAATTCTCTCATTAATGAAATGTCTGCTACTGGTTTCTATCTCCAAAAAGTGCAAAATGGCAATTAATCTGCATGTCTTATCGGTAAAATAGCGAATAGAATTAAGCTGTGACAAAATCTTCAGCGTTTCTATCAACGGAGTTATCAAAATCGTTTATTTCCATTAGATGACCTGATATATTCTTATAGATGTGCAACATAGTTATGAAACGTTGAAAGATTTAATTCAGCTGCTGAAGATAATTATCCCGAAAGATGTAAAGTGATGTGAAAATGTTACCAGAAAAGTCGAATTATCATCCGCATCTTGAGGACATTATTGGTAGGAGTTGTTTGTTTAACCAATTACTTCGTTGCACATACTATAGTCTCTATTAAACAGCATATCCTTCTCTAATTGTTGCCACACTTATTGCAACTGATACAACACAAGGATGACTCTTGAGAAATCTTTTGTCGATGCACAGAACTATCAAATTACATTATTTTTTTAAGATTTAATAAGGGACCTTCAAAGCAACGGGAAACTGTATAAAATATATTTTTAGAATAAGATATCTACGATATTTAATAAAATTTTGAACCAATTATACTTTGAACATGACACATTGGGTGTGTCATCGAGCGATCAATGTTGCTTTTTGTATCGATCTGTTCTATACTTGTATGGAAACCTGGTGGTTGTAACATAATGAGTAAGGAATTCATACCCCTCCGGATCCCCATTCCTTTACTCCTCTTTTACCTTTCCATGAATTGATGTATTTCATTCCCATTTTTTTGGTGATTTATGATAGTTAAACTTAGGGGACGGCCATTTGATATTCTAGAGGGGGTGCCAGGAGGATATTTTTTTGCGGATTGATTATTCATCTTTTCAGCGGCTTTACCATGCGCAAATTTATTAGTACTTTTATACACAATTGTATCCTGCATTTTGTATTGCAATTTTCATTCTCATCCTGTCTTATGCAAAGTTATTTATTTTCAGCTCCTGCCAGGACTGGTTGTTCATTTTAAAAATCCTCCTGCCCCGAAAATCAAATGGGTGTCCCCTTATGTTTCAAAATTCACTTTTATATTTGTGCTCTTATTACAGTTCAATCATTTAAAAAGCAAAAGAAGTAGGTCAATTTTCAAAGCTAACAAAAATTGATGATTACATTTCATCACTCTTATGCAATAAAGTGAACAAGTCATGTCGTAATCAGTGGTAATGTTAAGAACTTTTCTTTTTTTCTTTCTAAATGTATAAAGCTTATCATTCTTCCTCCACTACATAAAGTGATGTTTATCTATATCATGCACAGCTCTTTCTTCAGGAAAAGTCATTAAATATAATATAACAGATAAACAAAATATACATTTTAATCCTGTCGAAAGTGATGCTTGAAACTAATCATCATAGGAACGCGACATGCAGTTGTAGTACACTCAGACGATGAAATTCATTTTCCAGACGCGATTGTCATCATTCAATAATATTACGTAATTTTTGTTTAAAAAATGGCGTGAACTATTGATAAATAGAGCAAATTGATAAAACACACACTTGAAGTAAATATATAAAGACATAAATCATAACATGTATAAGTCGATCAAATTTTTATATATTAAGCATATCATTTACGCCATTAACATTTTTATTCAAAGTAGTGAACTAAGGTTCACTGATAATTAGCAATGGACGTCTGCTATAGTATATATACGTCATGTACGTCTAGTAAGTTATTCAATCCCACTTGTATAGGAAAGGATTTGTACAGGCTATGCCTTTTGCCTGTCTAAAATGTTTAAATGTACGTTTGATATTTCAACAACAACAAAAAAAAAGCGTCACTGTCAATCTTAAGACAGCATTACGAAGCAGTAGGGGATGCATGAGCGATGAACAATTTGAGCTCACTCAACACATTGAAAAAAATCAAAGTTCCTGCAAACACGATGTCTGACATATCCGAAAAGCTAGTACACGTAACAACAAACCACTGTCAAGCATCTAAACAAATCATGAAAGTGATTCTGCGAAATGTGACGAAAAAAGTTATTGGACAAACGGACGGACATACGGACATGGTGATTTCAGTATCGCCCCACTCCTAGAGTTTATGTAATATAAAAAAAAAAATCTTACCGTCTTGTATCCAGAAAAAAAAATCGGGAGTTCGAATTGCTGAATAGTTTTAATCTTTCTCAGTGCGTATTTTCCTCATTTCTTGTTTGCTCATAAGTGTGTACCTATATTTTTGGTTTTAATAGGCTTTATTTATGAATAATTTTGTGGAATCCGATTTTTGATTTTCATTTCAATACATACTGATTAAAAGAGATATGGGGTCTTTGTCAATGAAACAGAATCCAAACGACAAAAGTAACCATACAACATCCGTTAAGGAGGTCAACTTATGACCTTTAATAAAGACAAGCGTCTACACAATATGTTAAGCTCTAAAGCTGCCCGAATCAGTGAGTACCGTATTGGACCTATATACTTTGGAAAAATGATATCAACCACTATGTTCTTTCCATAATAATGAGATTTGTTCTGATGTAGATTAAAAAAAAAGAGATTCAAAAGAAAACGGAGAATTCCAGCATGATTTTCATTATTTTTCATGAATATTTTTTTTAAGAAGAAAGGGAACATGTTTCCACCGTCTTCTTAAAACTAGTCCAGAGGTTTTGTTTTTTAACAGTGCACTTACAACGATCTTTAACTTTGCAAAACCAAAATGATAAATATTCAGAAGTGTACCCAGTTAAGTAGTCAATTTATATTCAAATTTTGTGACTGCTACTATAAAGATAATATATCAGCATCGGGGAAACCTAGTGTCAACGAAAAACTAGACTGGTACCGAATCCAAACAAATAACTGGTAACTTGCTCAATGTTCTAATAAATTGAACCAATTGTTTATTAGGTTCCCTCCACGCAAATCTTCAGCAACATTCCGGAGATATTAAGAATCTAACATAAGAAAGAGTGCATAATTGAGAAATCTCGGACAACCAAGGGTGATATTGCTTTCAACTGAAAATTTAAGTGAGTGCAAATATAAGCTTAAAATGAAAACAACACTTTATAAATTTCATTTCAGCTCGAACTTAAACATATTAAAGTCAGGTATGTATAAATACGTAGAAACATTAGGAGCTATGTTTTTAAGAAAATATATGCGAAGTGTGCGAAAATTTCTTATTACTCCTTCATATTTAATACAGAGAGATCTTATATCGCTCAAGGTATTGTAATATCATTAAGAAAAGATATATTTGTAATGGCCTTTAAACTTTTTTTTAACCACAGGGTTTTAAATATCATTAATGAAATGTAAGATTTATAATGGTAAAACATGACAGCACTTATCAATGTCATTTTCGTTAAAGAAGTTGTATTTACAACGTTATTGAAAGTAATAAAATTGAAATCCGACCTTCTTAGACCTCGTTGAAGTCTGGTATCAGTTATGTAAAATTTGTTGACAGGTTTGTTATGTGGGCGTTGGTATTTATTGTCAATATCTGATAATGTATCAGCTGAATTCGATCTCTGGAATTCAATATGAAATGTCGACAGATGACTGTCCATTTTTTAAATTTAGCTTTTAAATAAAGTAATATACATTTATTATTGATTAAATCAAACAAATTAAATTTTAGAAAATAATAATGAATTAAGTTTAGACGCATGAAATTTGTCAAGTGTCATTTCCAATTAATTCAAATACGCTTTACATCTTATTCCAACTCGATTGAATATAATTGTTGTTTTGCTTGATTTCCAGTTGCAAATATTTCATGCATGTTAAGACGACATAATACAAATCAATTGTCTAAATCTAACTTGTACTAGATCGATTTCATTAACATGATTAAGTACTACTCATATTTATCTTTGACTTACATGTTCATTTGTTGGAATTTATCATTTGTTTTTTTTTATATCTACAATTATTGAATTTTGTAAAATTATGTAGACGGTGTAGGTTTTCCAACAATCTATAAATATCAAACATAGGCGAAGTAATATCAAATTTAAGCGACGAAAATTTAAACAAGGGAAATAGTGAACATAGTTTATTTTATAATAAAATTAAAGTAAATATTTTGATGAACCAATCTTGTAAATTACAAGGGAAAACATCAGTTTATTGCAATACGTGTTCCAAATATTGATCAAAATCTAAACGTATTTACAACAACCCTCAAATCAAACACGTATTGATTTTATGATAAACATTGGGTGTACCACTAAGTAAATATCCTCATCTAACACGCCAGATTGACTGACCGGGGCAGTAAATTGGACTATAAAATATGTTCAAACATTTGCTGTTTTAACATCAGTTTATAAATGACACGTTAATACTTTTATCTTCTCCTTGCGAATTTCATTTACCCAATTTAGGTTATCTCTGGATCATTGTAATCAGACAGGTTATGGTCAGAATGGGTTTACGTTCAATAGTATTCTAATAAACCTATCTAACAGAACAATAATCAAAATAAAAGGATTTTATTTATTTATTCTTGGTCAACATAAAATGTTTGCGTGGGTAGATTAGTCCAGACATGACAGATACATTGCAACTATGTTAAGTCAGTCAATTTAAAGAATCCTAGTTACTTAAACTTACATCCTGATAAACATCTCAATTTGCAGGAAAATATATTCCGACCTAAAGCTTGTACCCTTAACATGTTATAATCAATTAGAGCTATTACTATCACTTAAATCGTATATCAATACGACATATGTTATTCCCCTGTTAATCACTCCCACCCCACAGTTTTTAGTGCGGTTCCTACTGCCCATTCCCTATATATAGTTTTCTATGTTGTGTCTTGTATAATGCTATTTTTCGTTTCGTCGTTTTTCATTTTTTGACATGGCGTTAACAGTTTGTTTTCGACTTGTGAATTTGAATGTCCCTTTAGTATCTTTTGCCTCTCTTTTAATACAATATGGTATTGTCGGGTTCTGAGAAATCATTGAAGACTTAAAATTGAAGTTTCAAAGGACAAAGCTTTAGTTGATTGATATTGTTCATGTGTGTGAGTCCTATAATGTGTTCAGTATGGCTCCTCTTGATATACGTTTCCTACTTTAGCGTGTCAATATTTTTTTATCTTTCAGATGAATATACAATGTATTGTTATGATATAAACTTATCAAAGAAACTAGGCATATAATTTGATACGCCAGATGCGCGCCTCGTCCACATAAGAATCATCAGTTCCTCTGAAATCAAAATAACTTGAAAATCGAATCAACAACGAGGATAAAGAGCCTTAAAACAAAAATGTCCAAAGGACTTTGCCAAATTCATATAAAGTCACCCATGCCTTAGGGAAAAGAGGAAAAGGGTATGAAATTATAAGTAGAAGTAAAATCAACCTATTTCGGTCCACTCGATTGGCATATCTATCGATAAAAAGTTATGTGGATTATACACCATTTACACAGCAACTCAACGACAAATAACCAAAAGACATCTAGGGGTCAAAATATCGGTAAATAACAAACAACAGATCTGTATGCAATATGTTAAGCACTTAGTTGTCCTAATTCGAAATAAAGATTCAAATAAAATTTGAAGAGACTATACTACTTCTTAGAAACGCTAAAAGTTCACATTTTGGAAAGAAAGACAAAAAGATGAAGTTCTTTGGCACTTGAGAAATTCAGAAAGTCAACTGCTTAAATCTTTTAAGGTCAAATGTGACTCATAGAGTTGCAATCATAGTTGTGTACAAAATTTGTCAGCGAGAAATATATCAAAAATATAAGCAATACATTTTAGGAAATACCAAACAATCACTGCTTTTGTGGTCTAACAGTACGCCAATAATACTATCAATTACATGGTAGTACTTTAACTTTCATCTTGCAATAGTATTAAAACATTTTACTTTTCTACACTTTACACAAATATTCCCCATTCCAAACTATAAGACAAATTGAAAGAGTTGGTCCTACTTTGTTTCATAAAGTAGAATGGCCAACGTAGATACAAGTAAGTATCTTGTCTTAGGGAGAGATAAATCCTACTTTGTAAAAAATCACTCTGATTCAAACAAAACATTCTCTGAAACTGGCATTATCAAGATGCTCTCTCACTAAATAATTCAAAGTTGGTGACTATGTTGAACGCATCTATCCCATCGAGCTTGAGATAAAGGATACAACAGATACAGTTAAGTCTGCTTAATATCTTGACTTACATTTAGAAATTGACAATGAGGGTCGGATGAAAACTTTACGACAAAAGAGATGATATTCTATGGATTCACTATTATAATGAGCACTGAAAGACATATACTTTGTTGCTTTTTTCACGATCTGCGACTGTTACCCACGACTTTGTTACACATCACCCAAAGATGGTTACAAAAAATACCTTCTGCTTTGTGGCCTCCGACGTTTTTCTAGTGATATCAGACATTGCGGAAACGTCTGTCATATCTAGTAACGGCGGACATAAAGCGATAGGATGTAGAGTTGGAAAAGGAAATGTTGGATTAATATATGGTAAGCCATATGACGAAAAGGACAGACCTTGTTCATGTATTTGTTTTAGTTTGGAATAAATGGCCCATTTTGAATGCATATGAGTAGGTAAATGATTATATTATTAATTTGTCCAATTTGATTACAATAAAAACCCATTTGTAAAAAAGATGATGTGTTTCCCCCATTTGTGAATATCTAACATTCAGCAGCTATACATCACTTCTAAAATTATAATGTTTAAAACATCTAAACTCCATTTATAATTCCTTGTATTCTACTTTTTTTCCCAAATGACATTGTTTATTGATCACGTAGTGTGGAAATCTATTGTCCATAGACATTATTAATTTACTGCACACTTCTTAATTACCATAGTGAATGTTCCACATTATACCATACAGTAATTAACACGTTAATATATTTATTTATATATGTACTACTTAGTACATGTAAGTACCATCTTTTTATAACTTAGGGTGTAGACTTGCCAAACAAAAAAAAACATCAAAGAAGAGTACTTAAAACTTGATACAAGTACAAATGATATGCTGATGAAACATGATAAACACGTGATCATGGTGACAATGACGTAACTTATTTGTATGTGACAAATCATAAAATGTCACAAGATGATTTTTCTGTTTATTTTAAAACACAACAGGAAAGTTTAAAAAGTTCAATTTACGAATATATCATAGAGCTGATAATTTCTTAGACAATAATAAATAAAACTTTACTATGTCGCATGTAATGAAGGAAAGTAGAGGCTACAGATACCAAAGGGAACACGAGGAATAAATGGACAAGGTGATTTGGAGGAAAGCAGCATGAAAAAGAGGAGAAGAGACATTAAGAGGGAAGATGTATATAACCAGTGACAGAGAAGAGAAAATGAAAGACATGATGGTAAAAATGAAAAGAGAACAGCGATTCTTTGTTCGATGTCGATAATGCTATACGTCTTTGCAACTTGGTAATAACAACAAATTACAGTCTATCCTGGGCAAAGAAATACATTTAGTATTTAAAATGCATTTTCTATGCATTAAGTTGTTCTTTTGTGAACCATAGTAAGGTGATGAAGGTCAAATTTTGAGCTTTGTGATTGGACGCATGGGTATAATATACTTAAATTTCTTTTGATACTACATACTTAACTGGCAAAATCACTACCGTTTGGCTTTTAACAAAGTTGTCTTTTAACATATCTTGACATTTTCAGATTCTTAGTATTGAAAGTTTCAATTGCCACCAGTCCAGAAGTGATCGTGTATCTTAATACAGTAAAAGCAATCTACTGGTCCTCTTTTTCGTGTGTATTTCATTTAGTCTCTACTATGAGTTTTGACTGAATCCCTTAGTTTTTAGTATCTCCCGCCTTTTTTTTACACAACATTAATAAAAGACTTGACACGACATCAACAGAGTCGAATGCTTTCATTGTGGTAGAGGCATTCGCTGTCATGCTTCGTAATCTATTTTCTCTTTTAGGATTATATTTTTATCATTATTCTACACCGGTTTAAAACTTCTTGAATTCGATCTGTTCTTTTGTTTTTTAAGTGTGTTATTTCCGTAACTATATCAGACTTTTGTTTATTTTTATCCCGAATTTTTACCTACCCCTAATACGCCACCTTTTTCCTTTTCCCTCTTTTTTGAGTCATCATGTGACGGAAAACTGGAACTTTGCAATGCTGGAGTCGAACTGTTTGATGAACCGCCTTGTGTTATGGTTTCTTTCCGATTTGTTGTTTTACTGCCATCGGATCGTATGATTGTTTCTTCTACCACTGTTTTTGTTACTTTGTTTGCACCTGAGCCTGTTGTTTCTGTGAATGTTTTAGTAGACCTAGATTCACCTCCACCACTTCTTCCAAACATATTTAATCTTTTGCCTTAATAAAGAAACGTTGATCACTTATAGATATATATTTAAGTTTATTTGAACATTTAGTAAATAATATTACAATACTTGAATACAAAGAATACAGTTTTTCCTGTTCGAAAACCACATACTTTTTATAATCACTGAAATTAACAAATACTTTATATTTTTATATTAAAGATGAACAAATATGGTAAAATTTGATATACTATATTTTCCCATCTAAATGGATCACATTTCAATTGAAAAAAGTGTTCATGTACTCACCTGCAAATGATATCAGTAAATATCTTTATGGGGAAATAAATAACTTTGGGTGGATTAAGAAAATACTTGTGCATTGCAAAAAAACTGTCACGTGATGCAGAAGATGACACTTAAATTCGTCCTTGTTTACAATACCACACAAATGTGATACTTAAAAGTCCTTTTTACAAATTCTGTATATGAGTGTGTGTCACTTACATCAATCAAAACGTTACGTTATCATTTTATGAATAAAAAAATATTAAAATTATATGAAAGAATATAATTTCGAGATTGTGTCCAAAATTTAGGGTCTGGAAAAAAAACAAATACGCAATAAGATGTGCCTTTCGGTAATGGCACACTTAAAATAAAACTATGATTTCTTATGTAAAAGTTAGGCCGGTAAGGCTCATTCGTGCAAAGTCTGTACGTACATGGATTTTCGAGATCAATTACAACAAAATGGATATATTAGAGATAGAACACAGATGAAACACAAAATTTACGGACACATATAAAAATCTGATCTGAAAATCCGAAATGTATAAAACGAAACATTGCACATGACCAGTATGTTTTTGGTCTTCGAGTCCGTCTTAAATTGTCATAATATCATATCGCCTTACACAAAAAAATGTTATGGTACATGTACAACCAAACAATTTGCGCTGTTTAAAGGTTGTATCACCATATGGTTAGTTAAAACTTTTTGTTTACCGTATCTAAGAATAATAACTAACAAAGTAACGATCTATAACGAAAAGGCTTACAAAATCAACTTCCTAATTAACATATTTTCGCTTAATTAATTAACAGTTTTTATATTATCTTATTTTCCAAAATGTTTCATCATATTTTTTTCAAATTTTAACTCACCTGACCAAATGAATGTAGAATTTAAATTATTTTTCAGATCATAAAATCCTATTCTAAAGTGGTCAAATATTTCAATAGCTAATAAAATGATTGTGGATACACACTGAAAAAGACAATATCCACCACAATATCACGTCAGGGTCAGGTAATGTATATTACAGGTAATAATTATTATCTATTGATCTTGGAGAAATATTGCATGGTCAATACACTACATACTATAAACTCCTACTTACAATGGAATATTAACTTCATTGAAATTTACAGCTTTTGTTTGATTGGTTTCATATTTTTATACTGTTCAGGTAAAAAAAACTACCATTTACATTGAAAAGTTGACTTCATTGACATCTATTGTATCGCCTACATGAGTGTATTAAAATTTTTATTTTGTTCAGTTTAATGATATGGTATTTATTATTTCCTAGTTGTAAATGATCATTTTTTTTGTCAATGAAATGCCCTTTTTTTAAATGTCGAATATTATATATATGCATTACTTGAACTTACCAACGTACGTAAAGTGACCAAATGTAATACTAAAGGACGAAAAACTATTATCACTGGGGATTTAAATACAGACAGTTTAATTCCGGGTAAAATCTAACAACACCAACGCATTTCCATGTAGAGTTATATCTCATGGGACGGATAGGTAATTCGTATTATCAATTACCGTATTTGAAATATTATAATAATACACGGTAAATACAAAACACGAACCCGTCACATAACCAGAACTTATTGGTACTAGTAATGGAAAATTTACTTCATTGTGTATTTTAATTACATTTCGTATGTTATTATAAACTTTAGAAAATCTATTCTTAAGTATCATAATTTTATTCAAATAATAATTGTGTAATACCAAAATGTTGTCCAAAAATGAGTTTAAAATTCACTGAAAGTTTTTTTTGAAAACACTGCTAAATAGACGACTTTCGAATTCGTGCACTTTTTCTTACATTTCCAATGTCATACTGCTAGTTATTATGTAACAGTAAGAACCGATTGTCCAATAACGTCATTTACACTCATAGACATCGTGCGAACCGGTGCTACTTATTCATAAAAACAACTCAAGATTGTTTATTATGGAAGTAACCTAGTCATTATCACAATGAGGAAATCCATTTTATTACAGCTACATTTACACGGCTCACGATGAATAGTATCTTCTGTTCAACGGTATCAGCAACAAATCAGTTACTGGCTATCTCAGTCACATTGATTGATTGGTTGAAAAGATTCATGAACTTCCGAAATTTGTGAGATGTAATTATTTGTTTCAATTTAACAACAAACAGAACTTCCTGAGAATTACAACATTGTGTTTGACAAAAGGAATAACACAAAACAAAAAATGAAAACAAGTAATTTTTAACTCTGAAAAACCAAAGCTTGTGCAAAAAATTCACAAAAAAAATTGAAATTTAGTATAACAAGTTTTAAAAATACACAGCACCATATCATCATAAGAAATTGTCACCGATCATAAAGTCGCTATAAACGTGCTTATTTTTTTTCTAAACAGAATAGTTGTATTATTAGAACTTGCACCATTTATATTATAAAAATATGACGTTTTAGAGTATCTATATCCTCACAACTAATTTGGGTACTATTCCCATATAACCCACATGTAGTTCAACTGGTCGACCCATTGACAAACCCGTTAATATTCTGCACTAATGGTTTTTATATTACTGACTTTTGACTCCGGAGAATATTATTTTTCGACAGCTCACCTATTCTGTGGAAGGTTAATCTGGTACTCGGTCAAGAAAGAGATATAACTTGTTTTGTGATCAGTTTTATGTTTGTAACATTGGAATTGAAATAAAATATATATATTCTTTTTTATTTGAATTTTATTTAAGTTTATTGCTAATTAAATATACCTCAAAGTTTAACAAGTTAATGAGCAAAAGAGTGTCATTGATCCTCAATCTGATTTGTCATTTGCAACAGAAGTGTTTCTTTTATTTCTTTTAAAATGAGACCTTTATAGGCAAAAATAATTCTTAATTCTTTAAAAAAAATAATGGTTTTTGCAACAGAAGTTTTCTTTTAATTCCCATAAAATGAGACCTTCAAAAAGGAAAATACTTGGAAGTTCGTAATTTTATAAAAAAAAAAAGGTAAACGAAAACGTATACCGAAAACCGAAATTCAAAAGGATGGAAATCCAAAAAACCAGGACGAACTCAAAGGTTTGAATATATCACTCAACGGAACGAATGGAAAATAACTGTCATATTCCTGACTTGGTACAGGCATTTTCCGAAGAAAAATGTGGGTTAAACCTGGGTTTATAGCTAATGATACCCATTTTTGAACGCACGACCCGTGGACTGTTTCTTAAAAAAAGTTTGTTAAATATAAATTGATTGAATTAATTTTAAATATAGTACGAAAGAGTTTTTGTCTGCCATTTACAGTTTTATGATGAAAATACATAAAGTCTAACTAGATCAGCTTTACAAATCTTAAACGATATGTCAACTACATATATTTACATAACATTTTTTTCATTCTTCTTCATCATACGTTATTTACAGACTTGTCTTTGTGTGTCTGAGTTTCCCAATCATACGATATTCAAAAGCCTGCAGCTGCTACACAGACTTTGTAAAACGTCATCGGTGTCTGAGCATAAAAATAATGAGCCAATATTTTGTCAAAGAACGTCTCGTCCTTTTTCTCAAAAATGTTCATCGGAAACTAGTAAGACTATTCAGTAAAATTGAGAATGAAAATGGGGAATATGTCAAAGAGACAACAGCCCGACCAAAGAGCAGAAAACAGCCGAAGGCCACCAATGGATCTTCAACACAGCGAGAAAATCCCGCACCCGGAGGCGGGCTTCAACCGGCCTCTAAATAAAAATGTGTACTAGTTCAGTGAAAATGGCCGTCATACTAAACTCCAAAACATATAAATGAACTAAAATTAAAAACAACATACAAGACTAACAAAGACCAGAGGCTCCTGACTTGGGACAGGCTATAAAACGGGTACAATACATACCAAAATTTTTGATTTTGGAATTTGATTAGGCATATATGTTAATTGAGCCCGAAAATAAAACAGGGTATACGGAAGAACAAGTAATCAGTGTGCCGGAGTTTTTCATTGACAACATATTTGTTTAATTTGGCGGTAGAATTTTCCAGTAGGTTGTCGGGCATTTCTATGTGAACCAATTGTGCGCCTCTCCTGATCAACCTTTTCTTATTTTCTTATGAGTCGGTATCTTCCGCCTTCTTTTTTTGCTGATCTTATGATGCTGATTTAAAGTTTCTGTCTAACAACTTTTCCTCGATTGTGACATCTCCTGGTGAGACTTTTTGCACTAATCATGAGCAACACGACAGATGCCACACGTGGAACAGAATATTCTTACTCTTCTAGAGCATTTGATATAACCCCCGGGTTTTTTTTTGTTGCTCAGTGATAAGTTTTTTATGTAAAGTAGTATTGACGTTTTTTTTTTTATCTTTTGCATTGTTTATTTGGGGGGGGTCATAAATAAAATAGCCAATACCGAAAAATGGATGAAAGTTGTCACTGCATGGCAACACGAGTCGATTATGGATTATAGTCATGTTGACTTAGCTGTAGATGGTGTCTTACTGGTCATTCTGGTTGTATGGAGATTATCTCTTTTAAATACACTGTATTATAGTTTTCGCCAAAAACGAAAAAAGGAAAAAGATCACTATTGCAGACTCAGTGCAGTTCTCCTAGAAGGAATTTACTGCCGATTTCAGCTATTTACTTGTATTTGTAGATTTTGTCTACCTGTTCATTATCGCTGTTTAAGTTTCTCTCATTCTCTTATTGTAAATTTATCTACTGCGGTTTATTAAAAGTACTGTTCAG